CTCTCCCGTTGCGGAGCACAGGCTCCGGACGCGCAGGCTCAGCGGCCATGGCTCACGGGCCCAGCCGCTCCGCGGCACGTGGGATCTTCCCGGCCCGGGGCACGAACCCGTGTCCCCTGCATCGGCAGGCGGACTCTCAACCACTGCGCCACCAGGGAAGCCCCAAGACTTATTTTTGAAGAGAGAAGGCTTTAAACCAGATATTAAAAGCTAGCCTGGAATTTCCTTGGCGGTCCAGTGGTTAAGACTCCGCCCTTCCACTTCAAGGAGCCTGGGTTTGTTCCCCGGTTGGGGAACTAAGATCCCTCATGCTGTGTGGCTCAGCAAAAAAAAAAAAAAAAAAAAAAAAAGCTAGCCTGATTCATTTCAGACGTTGTTTGGAAATTGTTATGTGAAAGGAAGGAGGACATAGAGGTGCTGACCTGGCAGACAGCCTTTCTGAAAAGGCAGTGAAATGCCGTGTTTAAAGACACATTACATAGTAGTCCTAACACTATTTACACAGATATTTTTTACATAGGATTAGTAACACCAAAATAAAATGTGGGATGAGAAATTAAAGTAAATTTTAATGTGAAGGTAGGTTAAAACCTGGACAAATTTTCACACACTATTTTTAAAAAAAATTTTATTTATTTTTGGCAGCGTTGGGTCTTTGTTGCTGCGCGCGGGCTTCCTGTAGTTGCGGTGCTCTTCGTTGCGGTGCACGGGCTTCTCATTGCGGTGGCTTCTCTTGTTGCGGAGCACGGGCTCTAGGCGCGCAGGCTCAGTAGTTGTGGCTCACAGGCTCTAGAGCACAGGCTCAGTAGTTGTGGCACATGGGCTCAGTAGTTGTGGCACACGGGCTTAGTTGCTCCACGGCATGTGGGATCTTCCCAGACCAGGGCTAGAACCCGTGTCCCCTGCATTGGCAGGCAGATTCTTAACCACTGTGCCACCAGGGAAGCTCTCACACCCTTTTTTAAAAAACCACATTTGGGGCTTCCCTGGTGGCGCAGTGGTTGAGAGTCCGCCTGCCGATGCAGGGGACACGGGTTTGTGCCCCGGTCCGGGAGGATCCCACATGCCGCGGAGCGGCTGGGCCTGTGAGCCATGGCCGCTGAGCCTGCGCGTCCGAGGCCTGTGCTCCGCGGCAGGAGGGGCCACGGCAGTGAGAGGCCCGCGTACCGCAAAAACAAAAACAAAAACACACATTTGTTCATGAAGGTAGAAAAGGTCCCAGGTGTCATTTCCGTGTGGGCTCATGTGGTACGATCATCACAGAGTCCGCAATCTCTGAGACCTAACTTCAGGTGCTTTCATGACTTGTGCTGAAGAAGAGTTTGAAACATGTGCCCTGGACTCAGTCCAGCGTTTGCTCCTGACCCCTTTCCACGGAGCTGCCCGTAGTTACCGTAACGCCCGTAACCCAGCGGGGCTCTGAGGGTGGTTCAGATCCCACTATTCCCCTGTCCTTTTCTTAGATTAACCTTCCCAGCCACTCTCTCTGGAGTTTTCTGCACAGAGCTGGTGTGGGTTTCGTGACTAATTAGAGATGTTCTAGGGTACGTGATGGAGACCCCGGGGAGGCAGGTATAGAAACGCAGAGGGGAAAGAGGCAGGGGGTGTTCATTCATCCCTCAAAGCAGGTGAAGCCCGGACTGGAACTCCAGAACGTCATTTGCTGCCCACTTTGGTGATGGCTTTATCTGCAAAGCCAGCTGATGCCCCGAGGACCAGGCTCAGGGGACCACAGTCAGACTCCAGCCAGCTCCATCCATCTGCAGTTCTGTAATTTTCTTTCTAAATGATTTCTGAGAACTTAAGGCAGTGTTCTTCTGCACTGTAAATCTGATAAGCCTGGGGAAAGCAAAGGATGGTGATGACTAGCTTATGAATATTATGTGATAACCCAAAGCAGAAATTCCCGGCCCCCAAAATCTAGAGGCTGATTTCTTCTGACGCTTTCCGTGTGAGTCCAGATTGGGTGTTTGGGTCTGTTTGTAAACGCCATCAGGACACCAGCGCAGTTTGGGGTCCTGAGGACTGTTGCGGGGCCAGATCCCACCTCACTGTCTTGGAGAAGCTTTTTCTAGGATAGACATAGACTTCTGAAGTGAACTTCCACCCCGTCCTTCTCAGCGCATTATGAGCTGTCTTAGGCCACTCAGGCCGCTGTAACAGAAACCCACGACCGGGGGCTGGTAAACGACAGACATTGATTCCTCACAGTTCTGGAGGCGCGAGTCCAAGGTCAGGTGCCGGCAGATTCAGTGTCTGGTGGGAACCCAGTTCCTGGATCGCAGCCAGCATCTCTGCGCTGTGTGCTCACGTGGGGAAGGGATGGTTTGCTTTCAGAGAACTGCGATAAGGTCTGTGAGGTGCATTGGGTGGGACAGGAAAGCAGACTCTTTCTTCAGGTTCAATGTCGAGTTGGCCGTATCGACCGACCGACCGCTGAACTGTGACGTGTGACGTGGGTGGTCTGTGTGCTGTAAGCCTGAGGGCGGGAGGGAGCCTGGGGAGAGCCTGAGGATCTCCGGGGTCAGCTGTCACATGCATTCCTGGTGTGACTTCTTAAGCTTCCCACTGCCTGTTCCAGCCGTAAAATGGTCTTTCTTTTTGGCTTGGGCACGTGCCTGTGTGTGTGTGTTTATTTTGGGGGTGGTTGTTTTGGTGATGTTGGTAGCCGTTAACTATGTTCTGAACACAGAGTGTTACAAGAACGTTTTTGACCTGAGAAATAAAAATGATTGTCTACAGAAACCAGGCGTAAACGCTTGGGCCCTGGCGGAGAAAGAGGCAGAAGAATAGAGGCGGGTGGGGGAGGAAGAGGGAGAGAAACAGAGCGAGGAGGCTGAAGGGATGGTCTTTCATTTAGTCTCATGCTTCTCTCTCAGGTCCTTTTTTAGATGCGAGTTCCTTGCTCTTTCACATTTGCTCTCTGGGTTTTGTTTAAAGGTCAAAGCAGCAGAGTCCCACTGTCTGTCCTTCCAGCTCTGTGCTACCCCCGCCTGCCTTTTAGGGCTGGTGGCATCAGTTTGGTCTCTGCGGGGAGGATGGGCAGGGGCCACACCCCGTGACAAACTGTACCTGCCACGGAAGGGCGGCCCGGAGGAAGCGATCGGCCGCCAGTTGTGGGTTCCCCGGCTGGTCTGAGGGGGGGGGGGAGGTAGTGCCCTTCAGCAGCGCAGCAGCAGGTTCATTCTGTCTTGCATTTGGTGGCTCCCAGGAAGGAAATGAGGGTGCCCCTTTGGAATGTTCACCATCTCCTGTTTCATTACCTTGTTCAGTTATTCCATTCCGGGGACACCCTGTCTCACTCCCTCGATCAGTCAAACTCTCCAGGTTCCCCTCCGCTCAGAGGTTAAGGTAGCCCTTTCTGGGTGGTGCACATCCCCAAGTGTCTCTGTCTTACTGTTCATTCTTCTGGAAGGTATGGTTAGGCCACCTCCAAACATAAACCATGCTCCTAAGTGCCTGGTGGTTCCTCAGCCGACCCTGGCAGTTGGTATATTTCATCCCCAAGGTCCCACGGAGCCCCTTCAGCATGTAATTCACCAGTAACTAGAGGCTGAGAGCCATTTGGGTCCAGCTAAGGGGTTAAGTACAAAATGTAACAGTAGTAATAACAGTGAAGTTCATTTACCTTTAAAGCCTGGGAAAAAGCTACGACTCTGTTAAGGGTTAATGGCAAAGTACATGGAATTTTGAAAACATCGCTTTAGTGATTTGCAAAAGCAGAGAAGCAAAAGTTACCACCCTGGTAGTAGCAGAATTTTAATTCTGCTGCCAAAAGTACACATTAATCCACCTCTTGGCTGGGATGACTGTACATGGATTCAGTGGGTAGATGTTAAAACACTAACCATGGGCTCAATACTCCTAAGGTTCCTCACCTGACCCGTCTCTGTGACCCAGGGTGACCTCAGCCCCTGGATCCTTCTCAGCCCCTCCCCACAGAGGCCATCCCGCTGGTGTTTGTACTGTCAGTATTCACACATACACAAGTGCAAACAGGACAGAGAAAAAAATTACTCTGAGCTACTGTACATGAAAAATTGCACCCGAGACAGATGAGAAAGACAGATTGCCCTCTGGCTCTCCACTGATCGTGAAGCAGTGTATTCACTGAACATTTTTATTACAAGAAAGTTGAACTTTGGCAGTTGTGATATCTGAGGACGATTAGCCCTTCGGGATCATAATTAACTCCTTATTCGTCTCCTTCTGCGGTCGGTGCCTTATGTAACATACAAGCCGTTCTCTAAGGAAGGGAAGAGAAGGCCCTTATGTTGTGGACGGGTTGTCAGGGGCCGGGGGATTTTGAGTCTGTTACCTTATTGAATGCCTCAATATGAACGAATGCACTGCAGGTATTATCATCTGATTTTACAGATGAGAAGTCAGAAGCTCGGAGAACTAAATTTCTAAGCTCTTCCGTAAATAGTAATTGGCAGGCATGGCATTAAAACCCAAATAATTCCTTGCATACACTTTCACCAGCTGTTATGGCAAGACATGAGGCAGGAAATAAAGAGAGTCGCTGTCATTTTCCTTATTAAACTCGTGTATCCACGGACAGGTGTTTATGAAGAATAAGTTATTGTAATGCAGCTGTTTTCTCAGGGGTGCTTGTTAGAGCAAAGCCTTCTCTTTATCGTGTTGATTAATAATCTAGAAATGGGTGACATCTTAGACCTACTGGAACAGTTGTTTCCACGTAAGGCATACTCATGATGTAAAAAACGTCCAGCTGATCCCTATTTTTACCTATGATATACTCCTAGAGGCAGTGTTATATTCATACCTAGATGAGTCTTCTAAACTTTACTTTCTCAACTGTAAAATGGGAATAAAGCACACAGGGTTATTCCTGTAATTCCGTAACTCAAGGGATAAAGCAAATCACTGTAAAACTAACCCTGTATCTCCAAAAAAACATTAATTTTAGGGTTGCTTTTAGGAACACGGACATGGAGCACGAAAAGTAAAAAGCAAAACTCTTGTGCGATCTGCAGAATCTTATGAAACCAAAGCCTGAAGAACTATAAGTCTGTGAGAAAAGTACATCTGTGACCGTTTCCTAGAACATGGACATAAATACAGCCAGACAGCTTGGTTCCTAATCAGTGAGTGCAGACACCGTGATGAACCCGCCCCATCACACGTATGACCACGCGTGGGACCACGCGGGTTACCGCCCTGACGCTCCTCCCAGCCCAGAGGTCAGCACTGCCCACGGTGATCCCCTCCCATTTCCGAGGGTTTTGGGAGGCGGTAGGATGCTCTGGGGGCCACAGCTCTATCTAGGGAGACTTGAATTGAGGCCTTCTCTCTCCCACAGTAAACCTACTGAGGCAGAGATGTCACGATAATCCCGTTGCCTGTGAAAATGCACCCAAAGGTACTGGAGGAATAGGCAGCTTAGCCTGTTAGTGTCTGCAGCCTCCGACGGGTCTCGAGTCTCCGCCTCACTTTTCCCTTCTCGCCGCCCATCCCCCACCCACTCTAGTCTGGAAACAGGAGAAGTCACGCTGCTTCCTGTGCTGTTGCTTATGGGCTCGTGTAGGACGTCACCTCTGGGCTTCTCAGGCACTGGTGTGCTCACCCCTTTCTCCTCTCTTGACCTGGGAGTTTAAGAGCGGATGTCCACACATAGGGGAACCCACGTAAAGGTCTCTGCAATAGGCGTGCAATCATAGATAGCTAGACGGCTAGAAGATGTTTTCTCAGCTGATCACCACCCACCCTGGGCACCCTGTGCAAGGGACGAGAAAGGCAGGAGCCGTCAGCCCTAGAGCTCACCCTGACCCCAACCTTGACCCCAACCTTGACCCCAACCCTGACCCTAACCCCTGACCCCAACCTTGACCCCAACACTGACCCCAACCCTGACCCCAACCTTGACCCCAACCCTGACCCCCAACCCTGACCCCAACCCAGGCCCTAACCCTGACCCCAACCAACCCTGACCCCAACCCAGGCCCTAACCCTGACCCCAACCAACCCTGACCCCAACCCAGGCCCTAACCCTGACCCCAGCCAACCCTGACCAGCCCCTACTTCGTTCTCACCGCAGCCAGCACAGTGAAGGAGCTTCTATTGCTTCCACTTGACAGGAAACTGAGGTTCAGAGAAGTGGAGTGACTTGCCCCAGGTCACCCCACAGGAGCCTGGATTGGGACCGAGGTCTCATCCGCCGTGTTCACTGTAGATGTCAGGACTTCCAGTAGAAAGCAGGTGGTTAAAATGCTCAGAGCAAGGTGTTTTCACCTGCATGTCCCCAGCATTTCAGCTTCCCCATTCACACACACTCCTCTCCACCCAACGTGGGTTTTATCTGTGACTCCTTCACAGTGTCCACCAAAGTGATACGAGTGGTCTTAGCTGCACATTGTTGAAAACAGATCCAAGCAGCTGAGACTGGATTGCGTACCAGTGAATCTGGGTTACTAACCCGCACTCACGTGCTTAATTTTTACTGCCCCCCCGCCCCGCGCCAATAACACAAAGTATGGATGGTCACGAAAACATGGAAATTTTCAATAATCCCAGTGGGTGTTTCGAAATCACATCTGGGATTGAATTTCAACCTAAGGAGTATGGGGCAGGCCCGATATAACCTAGTCTATCCTAAAGGCTCCCAGCCCTGGCCCTCCACTTCCCCTTCCACCAATCTCCTGTCTTATTTCACGAAAAGCTTCTTAAGAACCTGGAGATGCTTCAGAGTCAACCTGAGTTCCAGGAGCGTTCCATGTGAAGGTTCCTCTTGCTCTCTCTATTTGACTAATTGCAAAAAATGAAATGAAGATGACCTCAAATGTCCAACTCTTCTGTCTGCAGAAGGTTCTTTTCAGCTCGCTATGGAGGCCAGCTGCCAGGGCAGCCTTCTTTCTGTAATGCAACCCTCCCGTCTCTCCATGGCGGAATGGGGCAGAGTTACCCCCAGACAAGTCCACTGCCCATCATTTTCACCACAGGACTGTGCCACACGCCTCAAGGACTGATGATCCCTCTAATGAGGGGCCCTAATCTGAGAATTGTCACTTTGAGTTTCTTGTCTCTCTTTTCCTGCTGGTGCGCAAATTGTGCACTTAAGGCTAGAATCTGCCTACTCGAAATCACACATATAAATTCTCATTCTGTTAATCTGACACAGAAGGGAAAAAAAGTCTGTACACACTCAAAAGTCTGACCCGGACTTTTGTTATTTCAATCTATTCTGTGTCCAGTAGTCTTGAGTTTTTTTAATAGTGATTAAAATAGTTCATGAACAGTCTTCCCAAGTATACCCCCAAGTTGCGCTTTGAGGCGTGATAAAGTTCTGATCAGAACACGCTGGCTTGGAAGACGCGTCCCCTCTCCAAGGAGCAGGGCAAGCAACATGTGATTAGATCAGCTGTGCCTCAAAGCCCTTGCTCCAAAATCAGCTCTCCTTTTGTCCACAAGCAACCCCCCGAATATTCACACGTCCCAGGCTATTTTGATTTAGGTTAAATCCTTAGAGATTTGTTTTCTGGAAGGGGGGACCATTGTGTTGGGATTTGCCTAATACCTGCGGGGGAGGTGACTGAGGAGGGTGAGAATAAGATGGAAACGGGAGGAGGTAAGGGATGCTGGGCTTGAGATACTGTCCAGGTGAGAACAGAGATGGTAGCGTTCGCTTCTCTGTGTCGGGACTGGAAAACCCCAAGAGTCCAAGCTGTGAACTTGAAAAGAAGTTATCTATTTTTGCCTGTGTTTAGTTTCAAATACACCAATTCTTTTTTTTTTTTGGAGGTAACTTTTATTTATATATATTTTTTTATTGGAGTATAGTTGATTTACAATGTTGTGTTAGTTTCAGATGTACAGCACAGTGATTCCGTTTTATATGTACATATATTTTTTTCCAGATTCTTTTCCCTTATAGGTTATTGCAAAATATTGAGTAGAGTTCCCTGTGCTATACAGTACATCCTTGTTGGTTATCTGTTTTAGATATAGTAGTATGTATATGCTAATCGCAACCTCCTAACTTACTTTCCCCAACCAAATACACCAATTCTTATTTCTTAAACAGGGATGTTTGATGCATTGTTATTCTGTGTATTACACACGCAGTGCAAGTTATCAGTACTTCCTCAGAACCCCGCATGGGACCACAGAGAGATCGCAGTTCAGAGTGACCCCCTCTACTCCCAGAGTTCAGACCGTCGTCCTGCACAGAGAACGTGCAGTCATGTTCTCCAACTGCAGTTCAGACCCCAAGAGGACAAAAACAAGTCCCCTCTTTACCTTTTTGTGCCCACTCTTATCAAGTAAACTACCATATGTGCCCCCAAACCTCCATTTTCCCAGTGAGGTTACCCCAAAGAGGTTTTTTAGGGGGTGGTCCCATGTAAGTAAATTGGGAAGGTGGATGATAGAATTGCACTGAATACTGAAATTATCTGCAAAGGTCGACTTGCATTTTTAAAAGCATACATTTTATTTTATTTAATTAATTAATTTATTTTTAGAAGATGTTGGGGGTAGGAGTTTATTAATTAATTTATTTTTGCTGTGTTGGGTCTTCGTTTCTGTGCGAGGGCTTTCTCTAGTTGTGGCAAGTGGGGGCCACTCTTCATCGTGGTGTGTGGGCCTCTCACTATCGCGGCCTCTCTTGTTGCAGAGCACAGGCTCCAGACGTGCAGGCTCAGTAGTTGTGGCTCACGGGCCTAGTTGCTCCGCGGCATGTGGGATCCTCCCAGACCAGGGCTCAAACCCGTGTCCCCTGCATTAGCAGGCAGACTCGCAACCACTGCGCCACCAGGGAAGCCCCCATTTTATTATTTTTTTTAAGCATAGATTTTATTTTTTAATTTAAAATGCTTCATTGCTGAAAAATGCTAACCATCATCTGACAATGCAGGGTTTCCACAGACCTTCAATTTATAAAATATGCAATATCCACAAAGAGCAATAAAGCGAAGCACAATAAAACGCGGTCTGC